CTTAAAAAAAAAAAAAAATTTAAGTTTATCGGGATGTTGTGTAAAAATACACAGCCCTCTCGTAAGGGTTTTAATTGTGGCTGTCTTTTTCTTGCAGGTGAATGAAGAACTAATGACGGGTGTATCCCACACCAAAGCTGTCACCACCATCCGTAAAGCTAAAGGCCTGGTACATCTTCTAGTGTCCAGACCACAAGGCCAGAACCCAAACACATACCTGGCCTATCTGCCCATCAACTCCGACAACTGCAATGGAAACGCAGGTACAAGCAGAGACCTAAAACATGGCATGTGTATGCGTTTTAGAACAGTTTCGTCTGACAGTTGCTTTTTCCTGTTTTAATAATTTGCAAAGATGGAATTCTTCTCTATTTAAAATGAAATAGTGACTAGTATTAGTTATAGTTTTATAATAACCTTCATGTTGCTTTCAGATCTAAGTGAGGACAGTGGAGCGAAGACTAAGCTGTTCACTCTCCACGATCAGCGCAAATCTGGCGGCCTCCCTCCCATACCACCAATAGGTAACAACATACAGGCTATAAAATACTGATAATGTCAGTAGAACAATGTTCAATGTTGTGTAATTTTACTAACCGAAGGAATTAATTTGTAAATTGATTGTAAATTTGACAGACTATGAAGAAGAACAGAAAAGAGAGTTGGAGCACAGCGCAGAGCTTTCAGAGGACACAGACTGTGATGGCTCTTCTTTACCTGAAGACTCCCCTGAGGTACAAATCTAATCCATCACACTTGATAAAACAATGAAACTATATGAGGGTTCTATCTGAGATTTGTTTTGTTTGCGATTCTTTCATAATAGAGTTCGCGGAAAGTGGAATGGCAAGAGGAGAGCGTTGACGATCCGAGGAATGAAAAGTAAGATTTAAGCTCTTTGGATCTACACCTCTCACAATCAGGGCTGGGAATATATTCACATCTCACCGTTAATGTTTGCAAATCAACAGCTATCTGCAGATGAGTGTTGGACAACCAGAGGAGGATGAAATCACATGGGGAAGCGATGAACTGCCTATTGAAAACATGAACTCCAAATCCAGGGATGGTAAGACTGATTTTGGATTTACAATTGTGATTTACACTTTGAGTTTTCCTTGTACTTCTGCTTTAACTGTTTTGTTACTTCATGCTGTCTTCCCACAGACGGGCCAATCATCACAGAGGACGAGCTGACCTCTTTGCCCCTCGTCAAAGTGGTACCTGACGGCCAGTACACTGGACCAAAGCTTAACACTGTGGTCCGCATGATGAGGGGGCTTCTGGAGCAGAAAGTCCCGCTGCAGGAGTTTGAAGTAAGCATCTACTTTGAATTTCAATGCCTGAGAATGAATCGTGTTTCATTAGATTTTTATGAACATCTGTTTTCCTCCGTGACAGAATCTTCAGAATCTCCAGCCTCTGGATGACTGTTTAATAGGTCAGACGAAGGAGAACAAGAAGAAGAACCGCTACAAGAATATCGTTCCCTGTAAGAAAAGTCACAAGTGTGTTGGTCCACATTTTGTACGCTGTATCGTAACAGGAAACTTGAAAGCTTTTCAAGAAGCGGGATCTTTAAAGGTTCATCATACAAAATTCACTTGCCACTTGCACTGGAGTACCAGCATCTCAGACTAAAACAATGGGATATAAATTAAATAAAACTCACCAAAACGTCTAATAAATCCTTAATTCACTGATGTAGATGAGAGAAACTGTTTCAGTGGCTCTAGACACCAGCTTTTTAAACAAATCACAGAGAGGCTGCCATGGCAACACAGACAAAGGAGGTGTGACGTCATTCTCTGCACAGGACACCATTATGCTGCTATATCTTCACATAGCAAATAGTTGTTTGCTGCTATAACATGTTTTAAATCTTACATAGATCTGACATATAACCTTTAACATTTTAAACATGACTTTTATGTATGCCACTCTTCTAGTTGACACAACTCGAGTCGTGCTGGGCAAAGACGGGGGCTACATCAATGCCAACTTCATCAAGATGTCGGTGAAGGATGAGAACTACATGTACATCGCCTGTCAGGGTCCCTTACCCACCACTCTGGGTGACTTTTGGCAAATGGTTTGGGAGCAGAAGTCTAACGTGATCGCCATGATGACCCAGGAAGTAGAAGGCGGGAAAGTGAAATGTCAACGGTACTGGCCGGACACGCCGAGGACAGCAGAGATGGTAGACGACAGGTTACAGATCACGCTGATCAAAGACCAATACCTTGACAACTTTGTCATCCGACTCATCGAGATCAAAGATGTCCAGGTTAATTTAAATATATATTTCATGCTTATTTTCTTAAGCTGGCTGCACCCTTTTATGCACTGGTAAAAGACACATTAATGAAAGAGTTTCTCCCTCCTCAGACCAATGAAATACAGCGTGTAACTCATCTGAATTACACGGGATGGCCAGACCACGGAACGCCCTCGCAACCCGAGCAGCTGCTCACATTTATTTCCTACATGAGGCACGTTCATCGATCGGGGCCCATTATCACACACTGCAGTGCAGGCATCGGTCGATCAGGGACCCTCATCTGTATAGATGTGGTTCTGGGTCTCATCAGTAAAGATGCTGATGTAAGTTGATGATGCAATATATTGTTTATAAGGAGGATTTATTTGTTTGTTCATTATGATCACAATCTAATTAACACTTTTTTTGTAGTTTGATATTTCAGATGTCGTAAGAAACATGAGACTTCAGAGACAGGGAATGGTCCAAACGGAGGTGAGCTTTAATGTTAGATTTTTGGCATCATCTCTCATCTCTCTGATTTGATTCTTCACCTTTTTGGTTTCACGCTTTCTCACACATTTTCCCTTTTTTTTCTTACAGGACCAGTATATTTTCTGCTATCAAGTGATCCTCTATGTCCTCAGATGCCTTCAAGCTGAGGAAAACATCTCAGGATAGTAGAAACCACACGTCACCACCACCATCATGTAGAGGCTGGATGACGGTTTCACAAGAGCAAAACAAAAATGGAGGAGATTTTACACAGGCAGAAATTGCCAAATTACACTACATGTTTTGAAAATGCCTTAAAATATTCAGTTCCTTGAGAGTAAATCCTTTTAAAGAAGTCTATATTTTTATGTTTGCTTTTTGAGTTCTTTCTCTTTGGCTGCTACTCCCCTTTTAATGCATTTATGAGAACTGCTGATTGTATTTCTTATTGTCACCTACAAGAGAACACTTCTTGGTTCTTGGATATTCTAAAATAATTATGAAAGTGATCAATTATTTCGTATTTTATGTGGAACAAAATTGTACTTGTGTATTTTGAATCCTATTTTGATGCTGGAACATGCCTTGACAGAATACTATGTCAGTATTTGCTTTGTAAATCTATTATACAGTAATTGCTCACTGCCGGAGGGTAAATGATGAAATTAAAAGTGTACATATTCATCTCCTAAAAATTAAACTGGATACATTTTAAGTGTTATGTAAAGGAAAGTTTTTTTATTTTTAATAAGAAATATTTTCCTTGCCTTTTTAGCAAACGTTATTAGCCTTGTTGTTATCATTCATGCTGTGTAAAAAGGTTGCCACCACATTCCAAACTTCTTTAATAGACACGGTAACCTAAAACAGCTTTTCAAAGCTTGCTGACTAACAAAACCACTGAAAAGTCTGAGGAAGACGAGCTACAACTTGTGCACCTGTATGAGGGTTGATGACTTGAAAATGACTATATAAATATATATATATATACACTATCAGTTACTGCACAGTAATGCAATAATGCAGCTTATAATGTTGAATCTATGCTGAGGCTGTCAGGGGAGTATTAATTTATCATTTCTGGAGCTATAGTTTGTGATGTTCTGCATTACAGTGGTGTTACTTTGTCAATCCAATGATTGAACATTTTAGACTGTAATGCCACACAAAAAAAAAAAAAAAAAACACAAACTCAAAATTGACCATAGATTTGCATAAATAATTCCCTGACAGTCTATACAAAGACTTGGACTTGATTTTTATCCTATATTTTAATTTTTTGGCCTGGCTATTGCATTGGGTTGCATATTTTACAGGTGCTTATATTACTGTGTCTTTTCCCTGTATGTAGTCATTAAACACAACTGACCTGAATGAATTCACACCCCTGAGCTTTCTGATGGAACAATGTAATCTTATACAAATACTGTAGCGGAAAGCAGGAGGTGTTGCTGCACAGATAGGTTGTCTTGTCTTAGCCCGTTTCACCACCATGTGGTGCCAAAATCCATTATCAAATCACTGTAAAATAATTCTGCAAACATTGCCATGTGTCCAGAAATCTTTCATGATGGTTTTGGACTGTACCGGGTGTTCAGTTGCACATTTAAACACAATAAAGCTCATATTGCTCAATGTGTTGGATAGACATTTTTCTTTGCAGGCCTGGTTTGCTGTTTGAGATGCAGGATTGTAGTGAAATGCAAAATCCTGCAGAATTCCCCATGAAAAGGAAAGTTTCTGCAATTTAACCAAAGCAATGTATACTCAGTCATTAATAGAAAAGAGAATCATTATAATCTCTTTTTGAAAGGTCCCTGTCAGTTCAAATGTAGGTGAGAATTTGTACTTCAATTGTGAAGCAAATAAACAAAAGCTCACTTTGTCCCGTTTTAACTACATTAGTATGACTGAAACTACTTATATTAATAATGCTACTGTTAATATGTAATGTTAGAAGTTGACACAAAATACCTCAACACAAATTGTGAGCCTTAAACATTTGCTAACATCCACAGCAGACCGCTTTCCAATCTAAGGCTTTACACTGCTGTGCGTTTTTAATATTAAGGATTTCTAAGGATATCTAGATGACACAGATATGATTCATAATTTCTTTCTAACTGAAGACAATATTTTGCAAGTGTTAAAATTATGAAGTTGACATCATTTATATGCACAAGAACTACAGCGAAAATAAAAACAGCGTCTCCTTTAAGAAAAGCGGACGTGACTCCGCTGTGGCCGGATGTGACGTCTGGACCGCGCGTTAAATGGCAGCCTGCACATTTGCCACGCTTGCCTTGTAAAAACCTGATGTTTTTTTTTTTTTAATTCTCAACGTATTCGGAAAAATCCTCTTAAACCATGTCCGGGCGACACAACAACAAACTGCCCAACAACCTGCCGCAGCTGCAGAATCTCATTAAGAGAGACCCACAGTCGTACGTAGAGGAGGTGAGTACTGCTAGCCAACCCTTGCTCAGCGTTTTTAAGATAGTGGACCTGTTGTTTGTGGGTCACTCATGGTTGTTGTACCTTCGACAGTTCCAGCAGCAGTACCGACACTATCAGTCCAATGTACAGATCTTCAAACTGCAGCCTGACAAGCCGAACAAGGAGCTGGCAGACCTCGTCATGTTTCTTGCTCAGGTACGGTGCTGTGTGTTGTTTGGGGATCAGTCGTGTGTCATACCTTCCTGTCGCCCATCTGTTGTGACCTTAAAGTTCTTTCTTGTTCTCCAGGTGGGTCACTGCTACCTGCAGCAGCTGTCCACCTTTCCACAAGAGCTGTCTCAGTTATTGTTGAGTCACCACACAGTCCTAGAGCCAGACCTAAGAATGGTGAGAACATCTCTCAGATATGTTTTGAGTTTGTTGATATTTATGTAAAAAGCATGTCTCTCAAGCACTGGGATGTATTTTTGTGTTTGCTCTTTGTCAGACCTTCTGCAAAGCGCTGATTCTTCTGAGGAATAAAGATCTGATCGACCCCACTGGCCTCCTGGAGCTCTTCTTTGAGCTGCTGCGATGTCACGACAAACTTCTTAGAAAGGTTAGAGCTCAGCCCTCGACTATCTATATGCCTTTGACCCCCAACCCACCATACAGTCATTGGATAATAGTTTTTAGCTGTAAAATGATATGCATGTATCAAAATATTTTGCATAGTAAAGATATTTTTAGTGTTTTATTACATACAGCAAGTAGTAAGGAAGAAACCCTTATTGTACCTCTCATATATGCTGACCCTGTGTGTGTGCCTTTTTTTTTTTTATAACGTTGGCTCTGTGCCCTGATTTTCTGGTGTTGTATGTGTTTCTGTTTTCATATTCCCATGTTTAATTGTTGACTTTCTCTCCTGTTGTTTCACTCTTCCCCTTTCAGAAGTAAACATTTGCTTTCCTCCCTCCACAGACTCTGTACACGCACATTGTTGCAGATATCAAAAACATCAATGCTAAGCACAAAAACAACAAGGTTAACACAGTAAGTACACATACTTGTTCTCCGTGTTTGACTGAGTGTACTATTTAGTGATACAGCAGCCTAAAGTAGTCACTATCTGTGTTATACTGTTGTGTGTTTCAGACGTTACAGAACTTCATGTACACCATGCTGAGAGACAGTAATCCCATCGCAGCAAAGATCTCTTTAGATATAATGGTGGAGCTATACAAAAGGAACATATGGTGGGTTTTATTGCCAAACAAGACTTTATATAGTACGATTTTGTAGAGAGATCTTATTTTACACGAAATTCTTATTATTTTTTCACTGCTTTGATCTAATTGTCTTTTTCTTTGTGTCACAGGAATGATGCCAAAACTGTTAATGTCATTACAACAGCGTGTTTCTCCAAGGTGACGAGGGTAAGTTTTCTCACATTGAATGCATATTATATTGCACAAGTGGCAGCCTTGTACACACTCACCTGCCTCTCTTCCTGTTCAGATCCTTGTTGCGGGTCTTAAATTCTTTCTTGGCAAAGATGAAGATGAGAAAAATGACAGCGATTCAGATTCCGAGGCAAGTCCCAAATATACAAAGTAGTTAGTGAGCGAATACTTTTCTCAGTGTTAGAGGGAGTGGTTTTTATTTTTGTACAGTCCATATTTAAGACGGTCTTATCTTTCAGGCGGAGGGACCATCAGTCCGAGACCTGAAGGTGAGATACTCCACTGGCAAGAAAACCACCAAAAACAAGAAGAAGATGGAAAAGGCGATGAAAGTCCTCAAGGTACCCGTGTTGTGACTTTCTGCAGAGGAATGATTTTATTGTTACATCTGTGTTCAAATTAATTTACTTCATGTTTTAACTCTTTTGAGCAGAAACACAAGAAAAAGAGAAAACCAGAGGTCTTCAATTTCTCTGCTGTTCACCTAATCCACGATCCTCAAGGTAGGTTTGCTTGTCTTCTCCACAACAGCACAACAACTACAGCACAAATAATTTGCCTAAAGTCACTTGTGCTACAATTCACAGATATCTAAAGCATCAAATATCTCTTTTTTATTTTTTATTTTTTTTATTTTTTTATTAAGATTTCTCTGAGAAACTCTTGAAGCAGTTGGAAGACTCTAAAGAGCGCTTTGAGGTGAAGATCATGATGATGGAGCTCATATCCAGACTGGTTGGAATCCATGAGGTAAGTGACAAACCAGCAGATAATTATCACCCAACTCTGCAGTTCCGTCTGCAGCAATTTCCAGCTCGTTGTTTTTCTGCCGCGCAACTTTACTGTTTTGCTTCACTCTTACCGGTCCCATAGCATCTTATTCAGGCTGCAGCAGACGGCTTTAAAAACCCTCTGTACACAACCTGGTCAGACAGATTTAGCATAGCAACTAGTTGGTGAACATAGTGGGGCAGTTATCTTTTAAAGAGACCAAAAACGGAGCTAAAAGGAGAATACATATTGAAGTTGCATTCATTAGGTTGCCTGAAATACAACTACTAAAAAATGCAAATGTTGCTTTGTATTTGCTGAATATGTGTAGGCAACAGTTTGCTAACAAATTTTCCTTTTAAAAAAAAGTTTAAAAAGTCATAAAATGTCTACCAGATATTGATGTTTGAGCATGGATTAATGATGGCTAATGTGCAGAATAAGCATTTTTCAAGAATAGTAAACATCAACTAAACAGTTCTTTCTGTATATATTTAATAGAAGCATACATGAGGTATGATATTTTATACTGAGTATAATACTTCTTCTTTTCCAGCTCTTCCTCTTCAATTTTTATCCCTTCGTCCAGAGGTTTCTACAGCCCCATCAAAGAGGTAAAAATAACCCTCAGTTAAGTAAATAAAAGTCGTTTGACCTTTTGTTGACAGGATATTTTAAATAAACCGTCTGTCTTCCTAGAGGTGACAAAGATTCTCCTGTGTGCCGCCCAGGCTTCCCATCAACTCGTCCCGCCAGAGGTACGTTAAGATCTACGGATTTACTTAGTGATTAGTCAAAACATGTTGGGTGAACATTGGGATTCCAGCGTAACACTTTCCGTACGTTCCCACTCATGCAGATCATTGAGCCCGTGATCATGACCATCGCCAACAACTTTGTGACCGACAGGAACTCCGGCGAGGTCATGACTGTTGGGTAAGTCGCAGCCACGTCTACTTCATGGTTCCAAAATGTTCAAACCAAAAATACAAATCCATTCAGATGTTTAGTAACGACCATGTCAAGTATCACTTTACCGTGTTCGAGTCAATTTCACCCCTTTTTTGTCCTCAAGTATCAATGCCATCAAGGAAGTGACCGCCCGCTGTCCGCTCGCCATCACTGAAGACTTGCTGAAGGACCTGGCCCAGTACAAGACCCACAAAGACAAGAGTGAGTGACTGCCTGTCTGTTTTATTTTTTTTGCCACAATTCTGAATTCACTAATTAAAGGAGGTGTGCACGTATGTTCACTCACAACACAACACAACCTGCCTGTATTTCCCCTCAGATGTGATGATGTCTGCCAGAGGACTGATCCAGCTGTTCAGGAGTCTTAACCCACAGATGTTGCACAAGAGGGACAGGGTGAGCCAACTGAAAACAACACTTTTTAACAACATAAATGATGTCTTTACGTTCAATAACCGTGAGTATAGTTTGCATAGTATAATATGTTAAATCATTTATTCATGAAAAGAGTTATAATTCCTCAGTGTAGTTTTTTTTTTTTTTTGCACATGTTCCTGTTCTGTAGAGAGTTTGATCTAGAAAAGGGGTCCTGATAAATTATGTTGTAGTTACAGAAGCACAAATAAACAAAGGAAAAATTTATGTATGTGTATTACAATGTGAGTGACTGTAAACCCTGCCTCTTGTTTACCAGGGGAGACCCACAGAGGCTTCGGTAGAGGCCAAGATCAAAGACTATGGAGAGCTCGAGGCTAAAGACTACATTCCTGGAGCTGAAGTCCTTGAGGTGGAAGTGGAGAACAAAGAGGGAGAGGAGGATGGAGGTGAGCAGCTATTGTATTATTGAAACTATAGAATTGCCTTACAGCGGCTGAATTGATCTTTAAAACAGAAACTAGTTTCATACAGCACTCTGACCCAGATGATAAACGATCAATATTAATGAGTCTTTCATTTCGTACAACAGATGGCTGGGAGAGTGCCAGTATTAGTGATGATGATGAAGACGGGGAGTGGGTGGACGTCCACCACTCTTCTGATGAAGACACAGGAGAAGTGGTGAGTATTGAATTGCATAACTCGTTAATCTGCTGATGGTTAATTAGGTATTAATGGAAGAGTTAACTGTGTTTGTGTAAGGCGGAGAAGCTTCAGAGTATGCCGGCCGAGGAAAGAAAAGCCAAAGCGGCGGCGGTCAGCGGCAGCAGGCTCCTCACTCAAGAGGACTTCAAGAAGATCCGTATGGTCCAGTTGACCAAAGAGGTCAACTCTGCACCGGGCAAGGGCCAGAAGAGGAAGATAGTGGACAGTGACGACGAGGGTGACAGCAGGTTAGAAAGCTATTTGAGCCTAAAGCTTAAAGCATTGCATTAGTAACGAAATAGGATTTGTTTTTTTTTTTTTTTTTTTTAAATTATTTTCAGGTCTTAAATTCCACTGAATAAGTGTAATCACTGAGGTTTTTCTATGTTTTTCTTTTTCAAAACCTTTCAGAGGGGAGGTGCTGACTTTGAGGAATATTGAGAAACTGCACAAGAAACCAAAAGCAGACAAGGAAACGCGCCTGGCAACAGCAATGGTAAAACTTCATTCAAACTATTCTAGAGTTACTTGTCCAGGGGAGTCATGGTTGTTTTAAAGGTCCAGTGTGTAGGATTTTAGCAGAACTGGAATATAATATGCATAGGTATGTTTTTAATCCGTGTATAATCACTTGAAAATAAGAATGGTTGTGTTTTCGTTACCTCAGAATAATTCACCATCTTTCTACGTTGGCCCAGAATGAACAAACAAAACACTGGTACCAGATAGGACCTTTTAGCCACCGTAGTTTCTCCTTCACGCTTGGGAGGCGAGTGGTTATTCCGTTGGTTGCAATCTGCCACTGAATCCTACACACTGGTCCTCAAAAAGCCTCTACAAGAAACCTTTTTAGTTGATTCTGGCGACCCCTGTGGACAAAGGTGGTAGTGTTTTCACCACCTTGTTTTATCTGATTCATGGGAATCCAACCAAATCTGACCTGGTGGCAGACATTAAAAATAACTATATAGAAATGGCCATCTTTTAACTGATGGTTTTGGTTTGATTATGTGGGTCATATAGAGGCATCAGTATTAAATTGAGATGGTTTTATAACCAGTTAACAACTCATTGTAGTAAGTTTAAAATGCACACATTCACATTGCTTGTCCAAAACCCAAGTACATGAATGTTACTTTCATTGAAGACTAAGAAAACCAACAAATATACACATTTCAGAACCTGGAACCAGATAATGTTTTTAGCACTTTGATTAATAAAATAGTTGTTGAGTTGATTTTCTGTCAACTAATCATTTCAGCTCTAATAATGCGTTTGATTTTTCTAGGCGGGACGAACCGACAGGAAGGACTTTGTCAAGAAACATACCAAGCTGAACCCACATGCCGGCACCAGCAACAGGGAGAAGAGGAAGACTAAGAACTTCATGATGATGAGACACAGTCAGAATGTCAGAACCAAAGGCAAACGCTCCTTCAGAGAGAAACAGGTAAGTCACACCTGTGTTTGACTGTGGCTAAATCGATTGAAATCTAACAAACAACTCGAAGATGAAACAGTATTTGCATTTTAACAAAAGATATTTTGTTTTTCTTCTTCAGATTGCTCTACGGGAAGCACTCCTGAAGAAGAAGAAGCAGTACAAGTAGGAGGACGTGGACATAATGTTACATTTGCCTCTCGATGACCATCCCAAACCCGAACTTCGACTGTGTATAATAATATTGTACATCCTTCAAGTAGCCTGTAAAACTTGGTTAGTTTATTAATGTATAATCTTCAGATGAAATGCATACATTTACACTGTTCTGAAATAAACTATCTTTGATAATTGTGTGAAGGTTTCTATATGGGTGAAGGTCTCATTGTGTTTTGGTCTGTTTGTGCTGCAGCTCTTTACTCCCTGACTCATTCCTTACAGCTGATAAATGGCCTCTCATTGGTCGCAGTTTAAATGACAAGAACATCTCTGTAGTGTGAAGTGTAATGGTCGGGGTTATTTTTTTGGACAGCTTTAGTTTCCTTTTCTAACATATTCTATCACACACTCCTCGTAGGCAACACAGGAAACAGCTTTATTAACAAAAAGTCAAACATAAAAGGTAAAATCTTTGTTCTGATCTGATCCCATTCAAATAAAAAATATATTAAAAGATTTAAACCAACTGTTTTAACACTTACGTGGTGACAGTTTCTAGTATTTGTTTTATGGCTATGGATCTGGACCTCACCAATGGTATTTTATGGCTATATTGGTTTTGAATATATGTGTAGATATACTGAGAACTGAGAGAGTACAATATTTGTGCTTGGTGTTTGCAAGGTACAGCCGGATTATGCAGGCACTGCACGGATATACAGTAAATAGAACTCAATCAGGATGTGGAGGCGTTGTTAATGTATAATTCCAGAAAACATTTAATTGGCCAATATAGTTATATAACAATTGTAATTGCAGTCTAACATTTCCTTACTTTGCACATTACTCTATAGTTCAGTGCCTTATTTTGAGCATGTCAGTGTTATTTACAGAAACATGTTCAGTGACACAGAAGACAAAATAAGAAGGTTCACTTAATCGGAAGTAAACATTTGACAACTAAAGATTGTGACACTATGAGCCTGTCAGCCATAACTGTATGTTTTTACTTGATGTGTTACTTCTCTTGTGAGTTTTAGAACAAATAAATTGAAAGTAGTAAACATACATACAGATATAAAGGATAAGATCATATATGTTTGCTTTTAATTGGAGAAGTAATAATAACTCTTATTAACATTACTGCGTGCCATCTGTTGATATTTCAAGCTGCTAGAAATTAAACAACTGGTCGCTTTGTTTTTACCAAGCAGTGGGAGCTGCTAATGAGCATTATATATTAGTTTCATTCAGCTGCTGTTCAGGTGACGCTTTTAAAACTACAATACCCATGAAGCACCTGGAATCACAACAAACGTGCTAATGCCAAACATTCCGCTCAATGAAGCCGGCATTTTAATTCTTGCTGCGACATGAGGTATCTAAATTAAATATTTTTGACTCAACACACCGATTATCCAATGTTTTATACGTGTGTGTGCCAGTCTACGTTTAGTATTTTGGTTAACTTCCCGGTTTAATTATTTCCGTTGCCCCCCTGCCAGCTAACGTTAGCTCTCGCGCGGATGCTAGGCTGCCTTGCTAGTTGCTGTTAGCAACCGAGCTAACCGTTAACGCTAATGTAAGTTAGTTGCTGTTGGTCTAGTTGTGCTAAGGGGAGCTTTATTATTCTCTCAAATGTCGTGTCGTTACATTTTGTTTTGATTTCAGAGAGAGAGAAACTACAGTGTGGATTAACGTTATAAATAAAGATGCTAAAATCCATCAGTGCCCCCCTCCTCTTCCTCCTCGATAACCCGAGCTCGTCTTCACAATCTGTTGACGTCTGGTTGTGTTTATTTTTATTATTGTTTATTTTATGTTAACCTAACTGCGATACATAAGAGTATTTGTTGGTGTCACATCCACAAAAAAAAGTCTGGGCACTATGAGCTGTGTAGCTGGTATCTTGAGCATTTGCATCCTTTACATCCTCTCTTCTTTTGGCATGAAAGTGTTGTTTTTTTTACAAAACATTATTGTATATTTTGGGGCATAAAAAGTAGCCTGCACACTTGAGTGAATTAAAATGTTTTGGCACATAGTATGATTAACTTCTTTCAGTATTTAATACATAGCTATACATAGGTGCATTATGTGATTTGATAAACAAGCCTTTGATAATTAGCAAAGATCAAATAGTAAATATGTCATAAGAGGAAATGTATGGTTATACAAAAGGTGTAATGGGTGTAAGATACTTTCAGCTGACTGCATAACACACAGTATCCTTGACATATATCACTTTTTTTCACAAGCTGCCTCCCCCTCAGTCTCTTTAAAGGTGGTGAGGGAAATATAGTAATTACTGTTACTGATTAAAGGACAAGTCCATGGAAGCACTAGTGTTGACGCTGTGTGCTTTTTAGGTGAGTGGGAGAGGTATAGAGTGAGATCTCATGAATCCACACCTGTTTTTTGTACCTTTTTTGTATGTAATGTAATATGCTGGTTACTTTGTGGGAGTCCCTTTTTGTATGGTGGACGTAGAGGCCTAGAAAATGATATGTATTGCTCTAAAAACAGTTAACTGTTGGCACACGTTGTTTTTCAGTGGGCACTGGCGTCGAGTAGTTGTGCAATACATCTCTAGCCTTAAATTATTGACTGTCTCACTCCTCATAAATAATACAACGTGATGATGTTGTCATCTTAAGGCCATGAAAGTGCTCCCACTGATCCTGAATCTGTCTTTTGAGTTAAGTGGATACACAAAGTCCCCGACATGTGTTGAGAAACCGTGAGCTACGAAGCCTATTCACGAACCTACAAAGTAGAACAGAAGTCGGGGAGAGTCTTTGATCACTAGTGCATATGATGGGACTTGATGTTTCTGCTCTTATAGCTGAGAGGACTAGCGATGAGGGGACGGCACACTGAGTCTATTCAGTGTGAGAGACCTCGCTTTAAAGAGAGACAGTGCATCATCTGTAAGGTGTGGGTGGAGCTTTGCCCTCCTGGCTGTCTGCTCTGTTTCTCTCTGACATGTCAGCTGTGGAGATTTTTCATCAGATTCAGCAATAGGTAGGAATTTTTATGGCTTTGATTGCGCGCTTTGTATTTTCTTTGTGGTGTGCCATGTTTGCTTGGAGGAATCTGCTGGTGCTGTTTCTCTCACAGTCTCTGATGAATGAGTAAAGGGGAAGTGACACTGGAAGGGAGAGGTATTCTGACCAAACTTGCCCAGCTGGCAGACAATGTCCCCCACCTCTAATTTCCCTTTTGTTTCCTCCATTGATGCCTGTAGAGTATTATTTGCACTGAGTGGCAGTTTCTGTTTCAGACTGCAGGTTATTCTTACGTGATGCTAGTATCAGTGGTTGGCCTGCTTATTATCACTAGGGAAGGGTGATTGATTATTCTCTCTCTCTATTTATTATCATTTATAGCCTCTCCATTTAATTATATCTGGTCAAATGGGCCTGCAACTAATGATTACTTTTTTGTTGTCATATATACTGTTGATTTTTTTCCCCCTCACTTATATGTTCAAACTATAAAAAAAGTGAAAACTGCCAATTATAGGTTTCCCAAAATTTACAATTAACAGTGATATGACACTAAAAGCATCTCAAATCTCCACATTTGAGACGCTATAACCAGAGAATGATGGTCATTTTCATTTAATTTTCTCTGGATTATATCGATTAATCAGACTAATTTCATTTAGTGAAACGTTTGTTTGCGAGTGAGATTTTATTGTTTTGATCATTATTTCTAAAAAACATTTCAACAATTTCAAAATTAAGACTGTGATTGTCATCAATATTATAATGTCCATATCACCTACCCCTACCTGCCACTGTCTTTAAGTCAAGTTAAATTGGATTTTTATACAGCCCAAAATCACAAATCACAATTTGCCTCACAGGCTTTTACAATCTGTACAACATTCAACACCCTTTGTCTTTAGATCCTCGATTCAAATGAGGGAAAAACTCCCCAGAACAACACACTTCTAACGGGGGAGGGAAAATGGAAGAAACCTCAGGAAGAGCCGCAGAGGAGGGATCCCTCTCCCAAGACGGACAGACATGCAATAGATGTTGAATGTACAGAACAAATCAACAAAATGACATTATATATATATATATATATACGAATTGTGATGACACAATATCTGATACATGAAGATTATAAAATATGTGTGAAGAATGTGGAACCAGGCGGCTGTTTAAGAACCTCAGATGTTGCCAAATGAGACATATGATCTCCGTTTCACCCTAGAGAGATATAGAAGAAGACAGGCCACACAGTGGATCAGCAAAAAAAAATCACCATATACACTGTAGATTATATATAGATTGTAAAACATAATTTTAAGGTCAAGATGCATTCTGTAAGCAATTATTTCTGTCAAATATGAAAACACTTTCATCTCTATTACAGGTGTTGTTTCTTGTAGCCAGCTATGGCACCAGGGGATGTGGTGCCAGACCATGCCAAGCAGTCCAAGGAGAAGTCCAAGGAGAAGCGGCCGGGAAACAGGGCCTCGAAAGCAGACTGTGAGCCAGATGGGTCCTTTGTTTTTGAGGCTCACGAGGCTTGGAAGGACTTCCATAACTCCCTCAGGCATTTCTACGAAGTAGGCGAGCTCTGTGACGTCACGCTGAAGGTAGGTCACTCTGTCCAGATTTAAGTCAAGACAGAGAGATTTGTCTTCTGTTTATGTCTCAACTGGTCTTTGTTTATGTTTCAAGCAGTGTCAGGTTAAAGGTTGTGATTGCATAAAGAATATTTTATAGATGTGAGCCTAATTAATCCAGATTTTAAGTTGAGTGTGGCTTGATTTATTTTCAATCCCTAAATAGCTGCCAAAATCACAGTACTGAACAGCCATACTGTGGAAATGAATAAGCAGTGAGCTTATTAATAATGTATACAGGGTGTGTTGTTGCCTAAACATGGGTTTTGTGTTTGTGTCTCTTTTTGTAGGTTGGCAGCAGGTTGATACCATGTCACAAGCTAGTGCTGGCTTGCGTGATCCCTTACTTCAGGTATGGGTATAAAAGGTTTTAATTTTGGAACTGTAATAGCAATTTTCAGCACAGCATACGAGACACATAAGAGGGATTTTTTTTCTTACTAGTAGACACTTAATCTCCATAATGTTGTAGTGGAACCTGCTGGTCTGTAGCTGTGTTATACTATATGTCACATAAACCTTTTGCACCGACTACACATACAGAAAGCAATAAAGAACTGTCTGTAAATTGTCTTGAGCCTGAACATAAGGTCATTTTTTCATTTCTGTTTAGATCGTTTATCTAAAGATGCTTGGATGGAAACATAGCACATGTTCCCTCTTGTATATTAACAGCTGGGGAAAAAAACATACATTACAGAAGATATAAACACAATAATTTGAGCACATACTATTTGAAACAAAATACTATAATTGTAAAAAATAACAAAATATGACAGCTTGCTTTAAAACTTAGTGTCAACAAAAATTCTATGATTGTGACAACTGTAATCGATTATCATGAAGTATTAACACACCTTGAAACGGAGTAAATGTACTTTATGGGCCTCCATATTGTCAAAACCTCAAGATAAAATAGATTTTTAGATATTTTATGTTTTTTTCACCTTGTTCTTTGGTATTTCTTCCCTCAGGGCCATGTTCCTGTCAGAGATGTCCGAGGCTAAGCAGGAACTGATTGAGATCAAAGACTTTGATGGTGATGCTATCCAGGACCTGGTGCATTTTGCCTACTCCTCTAAGCTCACATTAACCGTGGACAATGTTCAGCCACTGCTTTATGCTGCCTGCATCCTTCAGGTAAATAAAGAAACACAAATACCACCAAACTACAAGCCATGCAGACATTTTGTTCTCTCTGTGTAAAATTGCTTTATTACTGCCTGAATCTATTAGGTGGAGTTGGTGGCGAGAGCCTGCTGTGAGTACATGAAGGCCCACTTTCACCCCACCAACTGCCTGGCAGTCCGTACCTTTGCTGAGAGCCACAATCGCGTAGACCTGATGGACATGGCCGACCGCTATGCCTGCGAACACTTCACCGAAGTAGTGGAGTGTGAGGACTTTACATGCGTGTCTCCCCAGCACTTGCGCACTTTATTGTCCTCCAGTGAGCTCAATATCCACTCAGAGACCCAGGTGTACAATGCAGCGGTGAAGTGGCTTAAAGCGAACCCACAGCACCACGAGGCCTGGCTGGACCAGATCATGTCTCAGGTTAGAGAGTGTACAGCTTCAAGAGGGGTTTGGTTGACCGTACACAAATTCATGTTGCATCCTGAATTTAATATCTCCTTAAGTTTCTGTTGAAGTCCCTCTGTATATGTTCTAGTAAAGTTAGAATTTATGACCTATTTTACTGATCGCCTGAAGGTTTAGCTACATAACTATGTGTGAGTTTAGTGTTGTATATATGTTCAGGGCTTTATGTAATCACTTTTACAACCACAATCCAAAGTTTATGCTGGTCTGTCCTACAGGTGCGCCTCCCCCTGCTCCCTGTAGAGTTCCTGACTGGAACGGTGGCTAAGGACGAGATGATCAAAGGTAACCTGAGCTGTCGCGATCTGATGGACGAAGCCAGGAACTACCACCTGCACCTCAGCAACAAGGTGGTGCTGGACTTTGAGTATTCAGTCCGTACAATACCCCGGAAACACACTGCAGGTAGTACTTATATGGTGGTGTTTGGCTTTGAACATGTAACCACTGATTTTATGGCATTTGTAGTAACATTCAGAACTTTTTCTTATCTAAAAAATACATGAAACCAAAATGGCTTTCTGGGTTTTCATGTGTTCTAACAGGCTTAGTCTCGTCTTCATAATAGAAAGTTTGTTGTATTTACTTTGTATCTCTTTTCTTCATTTTAAAATATGTTTATCCCAAGTCTGTGGTCTGTGTGCATGTATCTTCTGTCACTATGCCAACATTTTATTCTTTTCCCACCACTTCTTCAGGGGTTTTGTTCTGTGTGGGTGGTCGGGGGGGTTCTGGTGACCCATTTCGCAGCATTGAGTGCTACTCCATCACTAAGAACAGCTGGTTCTTTGGTCCTGAGATGAACAGTAGAAGGCGTCACGTGGGTGTAATATCTGTAGGAGGTAAGAGGGGTTATATACAATAAGACTACAGAAAGTCAAAGCCAGGACATGGAAAGATGAACAGTTGGAAACGTTCAGAAATTGAAGAGCACAGGGAAACATTATGACATATGTTGTACTTTATTTTCACATCATAAAAGTAATGCAGTAACAGTCTGGAAATAAATTCTATATAATGTTTAGTGTTAAACAGTTTAAGAAATGTGTTGAATCAACTTTATGTTTAACTGTATTGCATTATACGTTATACATAAACTTTCAACTGAGTGTGTATTTAACTTAAATATAAGACCCTAATATTTGAGTTAACATATAAATAATATATAATGAATACAGTATGCCTTGCAACATGGTTATCTTTGTAAAATATTGCTTGTCACTAGTCAACACAGTCCTAATTAGTTTGCTCTGACAGTAACAAGAACTGTGGATCATTTGTAATCACTGGTCAGGTCACACGATCATAAAGACTTTATATCTGTTTGATGTTTCTTAGGTAAAGTTTATGCTGTTGGGGGCCATGATGGTAATGAACATTTAGGCAACATGGAGATGTTTGACCCCCTCACCAACAAGTGGATGATGAAAGCTTCCATGAACACCAAGAGGTACACAGACACTACAATACACTCAATGTTAATGGGACTTTCTTCTTTGTCTTACATTCTGGGTAAGTGTGCTATCACAATAAAGTGCCTGAACTAAAAACTGATATTTTTCTTCTCTTTGGCCTTCCGAAGCCCTTGTCCCCGTTGACTTAGAAAACATCCCTCTTTCAGCCTTTAACTGCACAGGAACAGGGCAGATATATACCTTACCATGCATTTCTTCCAGTGTACCATTTACTATCTACTGTGTATATATATATATATACACACTTAGAGTATTGAATAAATACCAACAAATACTGCTTTGAGCAATGGTGTATGTGTTTCTCAGGAGGGGTATAGCCCTTGCAGCTCTTGGTGGTCCTATCTATGCTATCGGAGGTCTGGATGACAACTCCTGCTTCAACGATGTGGAGCGTTACGACATCGAAAGCGACTGCTGGAGCGCTGTAGCTCCGATGAACACACCCAGAGGAGGAGTGGGATCTGTGGCACTGGGGGTAAGACTTTAGAGGAAAGTTGTGACAAATTTTTTATTGATATATGTTATCAGAACCCGGTCTTGAATTCTTGTGTACCATCTCCTTGCCAGAGTTTCGTGTATGCGGTGGGGGGCAACGATGGCGTGGCGTCACTGTCCAGTGTGGAGCGTTTTAACCCACACCTCAACAAGTGGACGGAGGTCAGCGAGATGGGCCAGCGACGGGCTGGAAATGGAGTCAGCAAACTCAATGGTTGCCTCTATGTAGTTGGTGAGAGAAATAAATATACAGTATATAGCAGTAGTCTGGTGTCTCTGCTTCTTTCTGATACACCCAGGTCACATGCCTCCTACGTACACACCCTACAATTTTATACACAAATGCGTGAATCAGGAAAGACAAAAGTTCATGTTTTGTAAAGCTATCTGGTGACTGATTAACAGAGTGTAAGGATGAGGCTTTTATTGTGCCATCTGAACTTGAAGGGTTACTCAACGTTCATTAAAACTTCTGTTGTGGCATTTTGCCTAGTCACTAGCTGTGGCATGAAATCCTCTTGATGCAGGTAATGTTGTATGTACCTGCTCCATTAGTAACAGCATAATCTTACTCGGAGCAATTAAGTCATTGTTACTCCTGAGTGTGTTCCTTATCAGGTTACAGGTCTTTATTAGTTTCCTGTTTGTCCCTTGAGCCTTTTTCATGAAACAGACATTTCTTGTGATTTATATTTTTAATAATTGCCTCTCTCATCTTTCTTAAAGGTGGTTTTGATGACAATTCACCTCTGAGCTCCGTAGAGCGCTTTGACCCTCGAATGCACCGCTGGGAGTACGTGTCTGAGCTCACCACCCCCCGTGGGGGAGTCGGGGTTGCCACTGTAATGGGAAGAGTGTTCGCAGTCGGGGGTCACAATGGGAACATTTACCTGAACACAGTGGAAGCTTTTGAGCCTCGAATGAACAGGTGAGGAGGAGATGGATGAGGATTGTGTCATGTGATGTGTTTCTACAGGGCTTTTCCTACAGGGCACATGCGACCAAAATTTTTAAGAGTGCGACTAATAATTTTTCTAGGTCGCACTGATGCACCTGACGCTGCCCGGGTGAAAACATAAATTCTATTTCGCAAGCGCATCATCTCTCTGTGTTCTCCTGTGACCGAACTCACACACTCATGGTAGGATCATATCGTGTTCTAAACCAATAAGAGACAGAGCTCGGGCGGGTCTTTGCCTCTGATTGGCTGTGGTCCTGTTCACCGCGCTAAATTGCGTGTGTTTAAAAATTGCCGAGCCCCTGTCCTTCGGCGACAGCATCAGACTCGGAACCAGAGGAGGAGATAACCGAGTCTGGGATAGAGCCCGGCTCGGAGACCCAAATTAAAAAGGTCAAAATATATTCCTTCAGACAGGACTGGCTGAAACAGTTTCCCTGGCTGAGGTACAACAAAGGATGTAACACAATGCACTGCGTGTACTGTCAGGAGTGCGGTCAGAATATGGCCGGAAATAGTGCATTCTTCATTTCTTCTTCGTTTCGTATCGAAACTAAAAAACACACGATATGCCGTGACAAGTGTGTGTAGAGAAAGTGGCCCCTCTCCCAGCTGCATTTCAGCAGCAGGTAGTAGCAATCAGGTCCTCTTTTAATTGGAAATGTTTTATTTTGCTTAGTGTTTTAATTTGAAATGTTCAACTTCAGTGAAGCCCTTTTAAACACTTTATTTTTCTTTTTATATATAATTGTGCTTCAAATAAAGACAAGCATTTCTTTACACCTTATTCTTGTTTAAAAATAATTCATATTATATGAAAGTTATGGAGAGCGATAAAAAGGTGACCTTATGGCGTTAAAGGTGACGCAATGAAAAATTTGGGTGCACCTACAGGCGCACCATTGCAACTAATGCAAAAAGTTAGTCTGGAGCCCTGTTCTAAAGTACTGATTTTATAATAGCCATTTATCATAGTAGGAACCTTCTGTAGTTAGAACTCATCAGGATAAACTGTAGTTGGTTGGAGTCAACTGGCTGTTGATTGCAAATAGATATTCAGTTTGATTCAAAATAACTGAGTCATCAAATGCAAAATATGATCATCATAAAAGGTGTATTATGTCAAAAACGGTCTAATTGCTTCTGGAATAAAACCAAACTTCCCTATATTTGTTTACATACATGAAATCTAAAAAAGTAGTCATAGAAGACATGTATGGGGTCAGTGATAATTGTATATGCCTCTTTGAGTTCAGTATTAAGCTGCACAACGGAACTCTGGTTTACCAATAATTTAAGAGCATTTGTTTCTTGTTGAATATTAAAACATCCAAAAAAAGACCAGTGTATGAAATATAATAAAAGACAAACAACTTGGAAACGAAAACACAAAGATACAGTTCAGGTTAAATATTGCTGTGTAGTCCTCTCTGAATTATGTTTTTTGAGTCTTTTTTGACTTCATGATACTACAATAGGACTCAACTCGTTAGGTATTCAAATAATAACTAGCTCTAAATAAAACAGTTGAAATAGTAAACCTAGTTCAAAAATACTTCTGCATTGTTTAAGGCTGTTACTATGTCGTCTTTTTATTTTGTTGTTATTTACATCTGTTTTCTGTTCAGATGGGAGCTGGTGGGTTCGGTGTCTCACTGCCGTGCCGGAGCCGGAGTGGCTGTCTGTTCGTCTCACGTCAGCCAGATCAGGGATGTTGGCCAGGGCTCGAGCAACGTGGCCAACTGCATGTGACCCCCCCCCGCCCACTTATTACCAGGTGACTGACAGCCAGGTCACCATCAGATCTGATCACTGCACAAGCACACGACACAAAGCACACAGACAGTGACAGAGTGATTTCGCCCAGCAACTTTATCACTTGCCACTGTCTGAACATCAGCCTGAAACACACATTAAGGCTGATGTTCAGTTTGCACACAGTGATTGAGGAATATTAGGGAGATTTTACTGACTTGAAGTGCACATCTGACAAATCTGAAGTCTTCTCTGACAAAATGACACGTTCGAGACATCTTTCTTGACTCCTGCTGGTGTTATTTGCAATCATTGATGTAGTATTTTGTACTGTATTTTCTTCTGTTTGACTGCCTTGTCATAGTTTTGACTTTTTAAGGGAAACTAGTAACTGAGCCTTGCATTTAATTCTAACATCTTGAGAATGAGAGGTGAGTTTTGGTTCAGAACTACTAGGTGCACATTATGAACAGGGACCTTTAGTGGGCCAGTATGAAAGAATTTCAAAGGTCTCTTCTTTAAGACAGTTTACTCTTTGGCGCTGCAGTTGTTTTCATTATCCAGAGAGATGTAATCATACTGGATTCGACGCCTCGTTTTGCAGTGCAGTGTGTGCAGTTAAAACACAAACATTTTCTTCAGTCAATCTGAAATATGATGTGAAGATGTCAAATACATTTCCAAGATTCCTGGGATCTTACGCCATGTTAAGTGAAAGCATCTGTTGAAGCAGTTAGACTTCTTTTAAAGGTGCTTTTTCAGAATTATTCTATCAGCAGTTCCAACTGCAGTAAGCTGGATCGTATCCCAGCAGCTCTAGCTTTTTTTGGGGATTTGCCTGTAATCATGTTTGAACAATCATTTTAAGGCCTATTGGGACAAATCAGTCACCGGTCAGGAGGTGACAGGTCCGAGGAATTTAACCGCTGCAAGTGCCAAACACAAAAAAAAAAAAGTGCTGCCTGCACCTGCTGAATCCTGAGTCGCCACCTTTACCTCGACCTCAGAATTGAGAAAGGATTTGATGACTATATATACCTGAGAATCAAAGACTCATCAGAGCAATACGATGCAACTCACCAGTTCTTTTTGAGTTCTACATTGTTGTACAGAGGTCTGTTCAAGCTGACAGGGACAGATTTTCAAAATTCAAGATTTGTGTTTGACGATAGCTGGACTGTCAGAAATCCTAATCAGAGTGCTTTCAGATGTGTATGAGATTCAGCTGAGGTTTGTCTCTGCAGATGGTAATGTTATATTTTAATATATGGACATTTTGTATAATAAGATAGGTGTATCTTTGGTATTATTCTTAACTACACTATCTAATCCATTGCTGTGCACTATTTTCTTAGAATAGATGTGAAGTCTGAGTATATTTTTGTCCTAAATGGAGAATTTCACGTTATTCATGTTTGAAGATGTTTATTTAACACAATATTTCTGCCCTATCTAAGAAACATGTAATATGTGGCAACAGCTTCGTTTTTCAGAATAGGCTGACAGAGTTTAAAACAGAAATGCTATATACGGTTTATACTAGAAATATACATATTATTGCACAGTTTGTGTCCTGCCATTATTAATACTAGTGCATAATATCAACAATATATTATCAATATTGTTGCCAACTTTGTTAACAAATTAGCCTTTTTTGTAAACTTTACTGTACTTTGTGTTCTTCCTCCTCTTGACTGCTTCCATCTTTTGCTTTTTATTTACATTGTATTGGTATAAGTTGGTACAATAAAGTTATGTGTAAAGTTCATTGGTGGAATTCCTTGTTTGTTTTTTATTTAACACTTGAAATGTTGCCTTCCAGTCAGGACTGGGTCCAAACAAACCCCTACAGCAATCAAGTTTATGGTAATGCTCCTTTATGAAATTCAGTCACTTCAGTTCAACATCAATAATAACCTCAGACTGCTGAGTTTGTGGGAGTTTTATGGTTCATTTTCCTGCACCTCGGACACTCCTGACACCAGTTTTTCTTCTCAGTGAAGATTCATACATTTATACTTTCACTCATTACATTAATCAGATTTAGGTTCGAGGTTTCCTAATTCAGACATATCTGCTGAGCAATATAACAAGTAGAGTAGATGAGAATTAGATTTCAAATTTATTGTTTTGTAACATCCTATGAAACCAAGTTAAAAAGTAACAGTTCGGGGCAGATGTTTGGCAGTATAAAGTTTATTGACAGTTGACATGTGGTTGTTATAAACTCTTGTCTGAACTTTGTGGTTTCACTGTGTCAAATGTGAAGCACACACTGTTGTAATCAATGGGTCATTAAGGCTATTAAAAATGTGCGTTTAAATTCTCATGTATTGTGTGAGAGGGGTTTTTGGGACCTGAAGTCACAGAATGTCATAAAGTTAGTTCAAATGAAATGGCATTCAATGAAGTGAAGTTCCTTTTTTTTTTATAAAAACATATTTCAAGTCAAAGCACTTGACATTAAAATGCATTCTGCAAGAAGTAATATGTACAGATGTACAAAATAATTTTGTTGAAATATTAACATTACAAAAGAAATTAGAAAATATGTCCGATTTGCAACATGTTTATTATTGATAATTGTTCATTTTGGTAATATGAAATTCAAATGTTTTATTCTTAATATTGCACATTGCGGAATCAAAAAAGCCAACTTTGTTTTCAGTCATGTAAGTTTAATTCGATAACAAACCACTGTAGGCTGTAATATAGAAAATGAGTCAAGAGGTCAAGTGTTTGTCATCTGTGTTTTACTGCTTTCAGTCTTTGGACCCTGGACGGATGCTGAAAAGAGGTGAATTAAAGAGAAGATGCTCAGAAGTCTGATAACTGGGAGCTAGAGCACATCACTCACACACTGCCAGGCTCAGAGAGAGTTTGGACAAAAAACGTAAAGCTATTAGGATATGTAGAAACCTTAAGAGCTGAACACAGAAAAATAAAACATGGACAGGAGACAAAGAGTGCTTCTGCAGCTGCTCAGCTTTGCTGCTCTTCTTGCCTGTGGTAAGTCTCTTGTGACACTTTTTATTCAATGATTACGCCAATCATGGAGAGGTCAAAGCATAAACCTGAGAGCACTGGCCCTTGCTTTAATTTCTTTAATCATTAAAATAAAGACGAGTGTATCAGCAAAGGAGAACCTGATGAAATATGAAGTTAAAGTTGTGTTTTTAACATGTTTCAATGTGAGGCAGCTGTTCAGGACATTAATCAATAGACTTGCGCTGTATTTTTGCATAAAGCACTTGATGAGCAGACCTGGGAGGGAGAATTTAATTTTGACATTAAAGTAATAAAGATATTGGGAGAAAAAAAGACTCATGTTAATCAATTCCCACAGTGGAGAGCTCTAACTTTATCTCATCTATTTCACAGAAGCTGAATTTGTTTTTTCTTTATCTATTAAAGGAACCACACAGTAAAGGGTTCTAAGGACAAAAACAAATGGCTGTACAAAAGACCTCCAAACCTTTGTTATTAGACTAGTTTTCAACCAATCTGTACTGTCTTATATGCTGACCTGTGATTAAAATCACCTGCTTATCTTCAAAATGTGAAGAATGTCTAAGCACTGGGTTCCTTTATGCCACCAATTATCTTAAGAGAAAAAAATTATAGCAAAGAATTTAAGTATACTTTGTATTCTGAACGATCTTGTATCAGTGGTTTAGTCTTTTATCTGATGTTTGATGTCTCTGAAACACTGGATTGTTTCAGGTGAGGTGGAAAACACTGGATAAAAGCTTACAACTTTGTACCAGCTGTGGTTTTCTCCTGGTCATTTGACCCGTTATGGACGAGTGCAAAAACATGTGATTCTAGTGTCGGTAAAAGTTGTTAAAGTCAAACATTACCCAAAAGATTTGTATGAGGTGCTGAGAGTTGACTGACATGGCTGGACTGTGGATCTGTCATGGGACTTTTATGATTGATGGGCATTCAAATGATGAAAGTCCACATCAACCGGGTAGCTGTTTTTTTTTACTTATCAACCATGAAATTTATACCGTTCTTCCTGACTCAAAGACGTTACTCCATTATGTCTTTTAATCTGCGTAATGGAGCATCCGTTTCACATACAGAGTGTAAAAAATATAGAGAGAGTGTCTTGCTTTTGCTGCCAGCTAGTGATCCACATCTCTGAGATCAACCAGATCTTTGGACTTGGGTTTATTTGAAGAAATAAGAACCCAGAGAATATTCTTCACACATTAGACACATGAGAATAAGTTAAATAAACTAGCATAAAAAAGATGATATATCTGTATTTTTCTTTTAAGTTTAGGGTTTTCCAAATCACTTCAAAACCATTTTCTTGAGGCCAGCATCTAGTGGTTCATGTGCTGTTTCACATACTCATGTGTGCTTTTGTGATGTATTTTTTAAATACAACATATTTTGGTCATATATGTGCACAGTAACAGTATGTTGTGTTGTTCTGTTTCAGCCCACTGCCAGTGTCAGGCAGGCTGGAGGGAGTATGAGACTAAATGTTACTTTTTTTCAACTGATACAAAGTCATGGCTGGAGGCTAACGCATTTTGTTTGGAGCAGAACAGCAACCTGATGAGCGTTCAGGACATCCACGAGAGGGTGAGACAACACGCTCGAGCCTCCAGATTTGATACATGTTCATTTGTCTTTTTTTACACACAGGGATCATGTATATTTTTATGTGTTATTTCTAGTTGTGGGTGAGGACACAAATCGGCACAGAGATCTACTGGTTCGGTCTGAATGACCAAGTCTCAGAGGGTGTCTGGGAGTGGAGCGATGGGAGTCCTTTTATACCATACCTATCGTATGTAGGATCCTGTATCAGAACATTTCAGTAAAGACTTCCGAATAGACGTGTGATGACTGTTTATTCAAAATGATCTCTGTCTTGTTTCAGATTCTGGATGCAAGGCCAGCCTGACAACTGGGGTAGCGACCCTGGGGAGGACTGTGGTCAGGTGGTAGGATCTAGCTTTGGACAGTGGAATGATGAGAACTGCAATGTGAAGAGGAAATATATCTGCAAGTACCCCAACCGTAAGTCTACCAACTAGTGTGCTAGTTTACTTAATACTTTTAATTATTTTTCATGTAAAGTTGATCCAGTCTTAACATAAATGATCTCAGATAAGATACTGTACGAGTAGGTGCCACCACACGGTGTGGTGATGACGCAAAAACAGCTTCAAACATCAATTATGTAACTATATTTGATGTCAGAGCAGCCAAAATTCTAATTCAGTATTTTAAGTGTATGGAAGTGACATAATGAGACAACTTTTTCTGTTTTCCCAGTTTGTTGCACTGCATTTTCTTCCCAGTTTTTGGTTTTTTTTTATTAGATTATTTTCTTGGCATTTGAGCCTTTTTAGCCTCAGTGAAGAGAAAGACATGCAACAAAGGTCCCCGGCCAGAATCAAATGGTGGACATTGCAGTTTCTGTATGCACTGGAACCAGGGGTGCTCCAGATATACCTTGATTATTACAGCCATGTTCTCCCTGCCTTTAAATGGCACATGTCGGCTGGGATTGGCAATGGATGCATGATAACTGCCACCAACTATCAATCATTGTAGCAGTGTGAAAACATAAAGATATCAGAGTATTACACATTTGTATTACCGCCCTCTACAGTTATCAGAAAGGTGTTTCATGTCACCAAGATGTTAGTTTATCAGACAATGGAAACAAAATGGTGATCCGGTCATCAAAATAGAGCTGCAAGTACCTTTAATCTTTACCGAACTCAGCATATTAAAAGCTTCTATATTATCTTTCCATTAAATAAAAGAACAGAAACAAAAAAAGGTTGTTTTTCAGTCATGTGTCAGGTACCACTTCCTCACAAACACATGAGGGACCAGCAACATTTTAAAACATAAACTTTATTTTCTGTTCTTCAGCGAATCCTGGCCCACAGTGTGACTTAGCCAACGGCTGGAGACAGTACGGCTCCAACTGCTACAAGCTGAAGGCCGACACCAGGAAGAGTTGGTCAGAAGCCAGGTCTGACTGTGTGCAGGACGGAGGAGACCTGGTGTCCATTACTACAGCACAAGAAGAGCAGTACATCACAGGAACACTGGACCCATCACACTTTGACCTCTGGATTGGGCTTTCCACACTGGTGAGAGGAAGAGGCTCACTTTGCCTCTTTATTATATACTGTATATTCTGGATGTGAATATTTAGCGCATCAATATGAAGATGAGCTCTGCTTCTCCAGAAATGCAACAAGATTTCGTGTCAAGTCGAAGCAGGGAACAGTCAGTTGACCTGGTCGGATGCTCAGCAAGTGGGGTACACAAATTGGGGTACCGGTGAACCCACACTGTAAGTTCTAATATGGTATCTGTGTCATTTAAACTTAAATATTAATCTGTGCTATCAAAGTCTAACCACATGTTCTCCAACAGTGATACACAGTCTGGCTCATGTTCTGCAGTAATCAAAGACGAATCAGATGAATTTGGGAAATGGAAAATTCACGTGTGCCGATATGAGCGTCCTTACATGTGCAAACGACCACTGAACAGTAAGCTGGATTTTTACTGTTATTACACAGTGATGATATCTCTTGTCCCAGTCATGATATTTTTATTTTTAACATAAAAGTAATAATATTGTTTAGATTCTTTGCTTTTTCCTCTAACCTCTTGCTGTTGTTCCTCCAGCTATCTGCCCTGCTGGCTGGCTGAGCTTTGCTGGCAGTTGTTACTGGTTGGTCAGTAATACCAACCTGTTGACCACCTGGCACGAGGCCT